ATACCATTCCATCGTCTACCTGAACAAATTGAATGATAAAAAAACGTCAGAAGGCCCAAATCATTCGATCATAAATGCACTGGGAATTTTTTCCCTCGATTAAAAGCGGCTTCATCGCGACGGTGGTATTTTCAAAAATTCATTACATCCTAAATGAAAGTGTGCGCTCTCACGTTCTCGGACCGTACACTCTAATTTCCGGAATGTCCGACTCATGTGCTTGCGTAACTGCTCAAACCCCACGAGACTGCTTGGTAGAACCGGTGGAGAAGGAAAACAATGAATTAGAGGATATAAAATGAATTTCGGAAATGAGCGAATGAAGAAACCAGGCATTCTCTCTACGAAAAAACAAATCTATATTTCATTCGTGTACTTCAAGACTTCTCATTCTGAAAATAGCTCAATTAATCATTCTCAAAGGAACGTTTAATTAAGGAGAAGACTCCCAATGAATATGATATTAAACGAAAAGAATAAGTCGTTCCTCAAGAAGTTGAAAAAAGACTTAAAGCGCCAGAATAAAAAAATTAAAATAATTGACTCAATGATGATTCGGAATTTTGCCCTGAGAAAAATCATTTTCCCTCATTAAATCATCGCCTCTACGGTTTTCGATAAAAACAATTGTTTTCTCAGTGATCATTGAATTTCAGAATGTAATCAAATCTCTATTTTCCGTGAATCTGCAACAAAGCTTAACCCAGCATTGAGAATTAAATTGCAATCGTTCCAGAAGATTAAACAAATTTCCAAGAGAATATTTTTAAAGGAAAGTTGGTGAAAGGTAAAACCGGAGATTTCAACGGCCACAAATGAGACAGTAGCCCCATCAGTAGAAACGACCCATAATGATGCAGACAGGCTGTGACAGACCTCTTCGAACCTCGATGCGGCAACCCTGACCCAAGCTCAATTTCACCGTCGGGTGCCAGCTTGAACTAATGGTGGTTAATGGGACCACTCGAAGCCCAGCCTGAGCTTACACGAGACGGTAAAGGTTGAATATGTAAATACTCAATGAAGGCTCCACCTCCGCTCTCCACCTCAAGTTATTCTCCAATTCTTCATGAATGAGAAAAATCCAGAATCCTCAAGAGCTTCCAACTGACACCAATTATTCCAAATTATCAACACCAAAAACATACCAAAGTGAAAAACCAAATGAATTCGTCATTCCGATAATTTCCGACTGACAACCAAAAGAAATATTCAATTATTCCCTCCCCCCTGTTTTGCACAGGTACTCATTATTCTGGGCTTAAAATAGGCTAGGGTACCAGTCGAGTTGTATATGAAATATAGTTCCAGGGATGTTAGATGAGAGGAAAAAGTGAAAAAGGTTCTGAGAAAAAAGGAATGAAAGAAAAAAAAAGGCGGAAGGGAGAATTCTATTCCACGTACTCTGCGCATGTATTGGTAGTCATTCAATTTGGTTTTCACCTGGGCGAATGGAAGGAAAACTGGTATAGATGGCGAGAGAGTAGAGCTTGCATTATACACAGCCCCGCCCGAGGCTTTTTCCAACTATTCCCTTTTCGTCCTCGTGTACTCTAACCTTCTTGCAACATACGTATATCTATATACTTGTACTCCACTCATCGCGTTTCATCCCACCTACCCTACCAGAGGGGATTACAACCTGAGTCGCCTATACCTCTGTCGCAACGATGTGCGGTTGGGGTATTTTCGGATTTGCCAGAAATAGGGTAATAAAATATACATAACTTTTTTTCTTACCCATTGAAATTATAAAGTAGACTTGCTTTTTAACGCTGCAGCTAAAAAGTTGAGAGTCAACTTGGAGATTTATGTATTTAAAATGTATTTAAGAGGAACTATTCATTGAAAGGATTTTAAATCAATCATGAAGGAATTTGAAATCAAAATTTTTATGCTAAATACTTTTGCTCATCCGAGAATAGTATCATGGAAAAATCTGGAAATTTTCTTTTGGTCAGTAAAACATTCGGAGAAGATTTGTTTTAGTATAATAATTATCAAGATGAAAAGGTGAAATTCGTTATTTTTTTTGGGTGATAAAGGTAATATCTTAAAATCAGCTGAGGCAATGTGTGAGTCCTTCGGTCAGATTAACGACTCAATTTCCCATATTCCCTCGTAATTTTCAATCCCTCGGCAATCCGATACCGTAACAATTTCCCTTCAACTCATGCTTTTATTTTAGAGACAGGTCATCGAGAAGAGTTATTGCTTAACTTGAGTAAAACGAAAACAATCATAAAATGCATTACGGTTAATTTCAAAATGTTGGTGTTAAAAAATTGATCCGCTTTGAAACGAAGTTAACTCTCTAAAGTGTTGACTATCTGAACACACATCAATCATCAAAGCGTCTATAAACGGCGATCATTCCAGACTTCAGTCATTATTAACAACTCATAATTCGAATATTTTTTCAATGATCTACGGACAAGTCATAAAATACGCACGCACGAAAATGTCTACCAACTAAATTTACCCAAAAAAAAATCCCAAAATCTCTAAAACCAAAAAAGATAACGAAATTTCCGTTGAAACCTCCTCCGAAGAATGAAATAAGACCACTAAAAAATGTGACAACACATTTTTGCTTCCTACTCCTCTAACTTTCGGAGATATTTTGAAAAAATCATCTCAGCCCATCTGAACTCATTTTTTTACACGCACACATCACCTATCTTACAAATAGAATTTTTTCCCGAAATATATAAGCCTATAATGGGCATATATGTATTATATATATATTTTTCCCTGCGGGAAGGACCAGCTAAAATTAGTGCCCAATGGTTCACGTCAATCAATGTCACGCCATGCCTATTGCTCATGCTATACTTGTATCTCCATATTTCTTCAGTCACTCAGACTCCGATATCTGATGAGTATTTATTCCCGGAATTGTAAATCCGAAACGAAGGGACAGCCGATTTTTCGTAATAGATGTGGCGACTGCCCTCAAGTATTTCACACTAGAGCGATTTTCTCGGACTGAATGATATTACTGTTATTAATTATTGTAATGATAACCTTCGATATAGCTACCCGAATACAGAACTTCACTGATAACAGAACCACGACCTCTGGGAATCAATACACACGGAAAACGTTTGAAGACTCTTCTGGATCCACTATGCAAATTGAATGTCCAGAATGGTCGAATGTAATTTACCTGACCCTCGGGACTGCCTCAGAATTTCAAATGAGCTCCCATCATCTCCGGAGATGATGCAGTACAAAAGGAATATTTTAGGCGAGGAAAAAGTATTCATTTTCGAACGGAAATAGTGCGCAACGATCAAAAGTCAAATTCGAAAAATAAAAAAGAACCATTACTGATCGTTTTCATGAGACTCATTTTTTTTCTCATTCCTGGACAATCGTATCCCGCGATTTTATTTATTTTATATGAATTCAAAGAATTTTTTTGATATTCACATGAATATTTTCTACTTGACGCCCGGGTAAAAAAAAATTGTAAGCGGAATATTTTTTTCCAATTTTTCAAAAATCTTCTGGAAAACTTTTCAGAATTTTTTTTTTACGAAACAAGAAAAATCGGAGAACAAAACAATTTTATTTTCGGGAAAGCTTTTGAAAATTTTTTCAAAACAAACAAACAATAAAAAAAAATTCGGAAACAAATTTTTGAAAAATTTTTCAAAACATTTCCCAAAAATACAATTGTTTTCTTTCCCGATTTTTTTTGTTTCAAAAAAAAAAATTTTCTGAAAAGTTCTCCAGAAATTTATTGAAAATTTGGAAAAAATATTTCGATTACAATTTTTTTTTTAACCCGGCGGTTACTTTTGTGTGCTAACAGCTCAATCTTGAGCTAAAACATTTGGTTCTTTCGGTTTATCACGGAATAGAGGACTTTTTCATATCAACTAAATGACTTTCAAAAATACCCATAGCTTTCTTAGAACATCACTCATGACACGAACTAGCTGACAAAGCACGGAGTTCCAATTTCGCAAAATGAAAATAAGAGTAACATTTTCACTTGAAGCAATTAGCAAGTCTCCGGCCTCAGACTTTTCCATTCATGTTTAGGTAACAGTTCTGTTAACTCAAGCTACCTCTCATATACTACTACAACTACTGGGAATGTTCAATGGAACCACTTGACTTGTATAAATAAATCGAGTGATGGAGTGTGTGGTTTGAAAAGATCTCGAAGCTACGCTAGTGATTTTTTATTATTCCTTTCCTATATGCATATTTTATTCTCCATCCTCGTTCCCGGCGATTCATCACTTGAATAATTCCCACGTAATGTCTGTTTCTTTCATGAATACAAGGCATTGAAGAGCGTATGTTAATGGATCGGAATGAACAGCATTGCTCTTCCAACAGGAAACCATTTTGCTACTCAAGATTGCATTCATTTTTCAATAATTATTTGTTGATCTACCGCGGGCATCTCATAGAGACCAATTCATGCATTTTATTTTTATGTTCTCGGTTAAATACTGCAGAGACAGTTGCCCATTAATTTATTATCAAATCGTATTGATAAGACACCCCAGACGGAAATATCAGAAGATTTTTTTAAACTTTTCTATGAATTACTGTCTAAAAATGGCGCGAAAAAATTTCGATGGCATAATTATGAGAAAATTTTCTGTGATCTCATATTTTCCACTTTTTCATGAGAGACGCGTAAGTTTCTGCTTCTTCCGAACTCATCGAAAGATTTTCCAGGAAATATATTAATTCCGAGAAAAGAAACTTCTCCCTACTTTTCCAATCGAAAACGAGACAATAGGAGAGAACTTGCCTTTTAATTGTACCGAGGAAAAGGAAAAGAGCGACGAGAATAGAATGAAAGAACCCCTGAGTTTCTATTTCGCTTTTCCCATAACGAAACGAACTTGTTTGACTCATTATAAGATATAAGTTTACCATGGCAAAACTTTTCTCAACATCAGAGATGGACAATACAGTCCAAGTAGTCGAATAGTTGGAATGAGTAATGAATAAAACATAAAAAATCGTACCTTGAGATGAAGAAGGAAGAGGATCTCTTCATTTTCCCGTGGAGAATTAATTTTTCCAAGCTTTCAATGACACAATCCGGCAATAACACAAACGTATAACGGTGACAACTGTTTCGTTGGCTACTCTCGAGTTATCAAATGGAAGATCATCGATCTCAACAAAGAAGCACCTCAGGATCAGTCGAAGATAGAAACCCGTAACAATCGTCAAAATATTGATATGTTGAATTCACTGACGAGTCATTTTCCAATAGTACACCAGTATTTCATTCATTAAAATCCACTCTCATAGTTACACTGATGTCTATCACCTCACGATCAACTAGAAATTATCAATGCACCACTCGAAATCACCGGCATGAACGTTAACGATAAAAGAAACAATCCACTGTTGCACAAGTACATTGAAAAATCACCGACTGCCTTTGATATTTGGTATTGTTTTGGTTATATCATCAACATGTATTATATCATCACCCTCCATTCATTGATTTGCTCGCTCCTTGACACCATCATCAACAAAACAACCTGAGTGGGTGGGTCGGGGGAGTTTGAAAGTCATCACAGAAACCCATGCATAAGTGTCTGGCATACCCATTGAGGGGACTACCAACACGCCTCAAGAGCTCGTTTTCAGCATCACTCAGGCGTTTATCTATTTTCCATGGTATAATCCCCACTCTCTTTTCACCAGAGAAACAAACACAAAACCGTTCAAGAGTCTCACACCATAAATTCACTCCAGCGATCCTCCAATTCCAAAAATTCACACACCACCACAATGATCAATTCATCAAACTATCCCCGCATCGATTGATCCTCACAACCGGTCAATTCCTCCCCCAAATAACGCCATAAGTGCAATCCCCACAACATTCGAAACAACTTCAATTCACCACAATCCAAGACAACACCCCCACAACAACAAAATCTCACCGATCATCCAGCGGATCCACAAGTGTCATTAACTCATAAACTCAACAAATCACATGATCAATCCCCAAGAGTGTTCCAACGGGTGGATATGTCTGTATTTTCAAGGTGCTGATGGGAGAAAAAAATGAAAATCAAAGCTATGCGTGTTACACTGCTGCGCACCACTGAATACTGAGTGAAACAACCGATGAAAAACAAACAAATCCAACTGTTGAGGTACGTATGACGGGGATACTTGTTTCGGTAGTACTTTGTTTACGGTTGATTTATTTATTTTACGTGGTAATGCCGTTTTTTGGCAAGGCCACGCCACGCGATCGACGCCGGCGATACGCGCACGGTGCGTCAAGGCCGGTGGCATGGACCGTTTGGTATAACACCGACGACCGAGTGAACACGAGTGAACAAGACTGTTACAGCGCCAGCGCCACAGCATCAACTTCTACGCGCACGCGTCTCCCCCGTACGTACACTTAACCATTTTCTTCGTTTATTTTCGAGTATAAGCATTACTGATATTTCTCCAACACTGGCAACACTCAGGGTGGAGGGGACAAAGAAATGGGAATTTTCATTGGTAAGTTTGTTATCAACACTGGCCGCGTCAACGTCAAATTCCTCATTGGTGCACAGCATTAACACCTGTTAATTCAATCGACGATCGGTCACTGGAAAGTCACGGATTGGAATCGCTGGAAGGTCTGGGGGCACATGATTATTTTATGATTCATCATCTTTGGGTGGGTGGCGGTGGGAGGGATTTTTTGGGCTTCGAAAATTTTGGCATTTCTTGGTGAGGGATGCAGCTGGGGAGGGGATGCTATACTCAGAGCTGTGCGCGTTATCGACCCATCCGCGGATGCTACATTCGAGTATAATGCCGGGAAGAATACGGAGAGAATTAAATTGTTGTAATTCGAAGGGTTATTGGATTTTTTCATGTGGGGAAATGTTGTTGGAGATGGTGGAATATTGGGTGTGGAATTTTAAGTTCAGAAATTTGAAGGTTTTTGGGAGGATAAGGGGATGCAATATTTATGGACAATTCGTTGACGATTCTAGTAATTTATTGAGTATTTGCGTAATTGTATATTTCTATGTGGCCCTGAGAACCCCTGGAAATCGGGAAAAATATTGAATTTTAAATGTCGAATTATTGGGATTCAGATATTAAATTCCATCAATTTTATATCGACTATTCAATAAAAATTATAACATCCTGTTCGTGATTCCACACTGAAATGGGATTAAGGCTAATTTGATGGGACTGTTACGACTTTTTTCACAGTGCCTCGTAATTTTTATCGGAATTGCGAGAGGAAAATTACAATATCACCACTTAAATTTCCCGAGTCGCTAACTTCCGGCCTTTTACGGAATCGGTGTCAAGGCCGACGAATGGTTTCTCAAAAAAAAAAAAAATCAGGAACATATATTTCACACAAAAATCGTAAAAATTGACAGGGGAAAAGAAACTCACTGATCGGACTAAGTAGTTCAGAAGAGGAATGGGCCAGCCCTGGGTCCGGGACTGACTTCGATCTTCGAATAATTCAATAACAATTACAATTATCATTACGAATGCATTCACCAATTTCTCGCGAAAAAAAAAGGGAAAATTTGAAATTTTCTGCTGAAAAATATTTCTTCACGGCGCGAAATCCTTCAACCCCTGAATGTTTAACAGAAGTAAATCTCTCCGAAGCATCATTTTTACAGACGACTAGGGAATAACGATTGAGTACACATGCACCCAAGAGTTCAGGTAGCGAGAGCTGGTGCTCTGTTGATGTGGGAAATCTTGTAATCCTGATCATGGACGCGCACCAATGGATTCTGTACTCGTGGTTTCCACAAACCTTCAGCGATCTAGATCTATGCAGAGAGCACTAATTGGAGTTCGAGGAAGAATCACCGAATGTGAAACGAATGGCACTGGGTAATTCAATGCTGATAATATTTTTCGATTTTCCCAAAATTCTCTTGCAGCTACCGAAATGATACCGTTTAAATATTTAAAATTGCTATTTCCGCATGCAGAAGTCAGTGAGTCCTTGGAAGCCCTTGTCAGCACCTCCATACCATCAACTCCTCCGCTTTTCTTGAAAATTCAGGTGAAGTACATCTTCACCAACCATGTGAGAGCCATAAAATTTACCCAGAGACTGAATCTCTCCTGACCATCTCTCGCTTTTGTATCCTTGCCCTTTTTTTTTATATCTCGGATCGTCAATAAAAACCCAGCTCACCCTGGCCTGATAAGCCAGCGGAATATTTTCACGCCTTGAAATTATTTCCAACCAATGAGGAGTTCCTCCTACTCCTTCAGACAGAAATTAAATGGCACCACGAAAATTCATCAAGATAACATTTGCAATGAACGCACACGACATCCTTCCCAAAATCTATTAAAAAATAGCAGACTACCTGAAATGAGAGATCATTTTCCCTGGATCAGAATTTAATTACTTTCCCATGAAAATCCACGTAATTACGTGAAATCTGGCACCGGTCGGATCAGGTTCTGATCCTCAGGGCAATCCCTTACGAATCCTCTGTAGTATGTCAATTCCTTTGAGACTTGTTGACATGAAAAATTAAATTACTTCACATCCCCGAAATTTAATCACGACTAAAATTCCGTTGTGCTTTCACATTCAACTCTCTATTCGTCAAAATTATCCCAAAACTTCTCAATTGTGAGAGCCTCCCATGAGGCATCACTGCCGAATAGTCAAAACCTAAAATCAACTCCAGAAGATAAAGCGATTGCACAGAGAAAACAAGAAGATTTCCACAATTCTCACAATTCACAAGTGACATATACACCAGAAAAAGCTGCATGATCCCAAACCAGTGCACACGAAACGATTCAGGCGAAAGCTAAAGCGATATTGACACAAGCTTTGGTTTAATTTCTCCATCGTCAAATACAGTGTCCATCCTTTCCACTACGTCAATTTTCCGTGTTTATTTATAGTAATCCCCGTATTTTATCAAATGTACATTTTTTACTCCTTGTTTATCCCCATTTCATTCGTTACCTACCATTCATTTGTCCCCTGAACCCCATCTTCTGTCGTATATATTCCCTCATGCTCTGTTTTGTATTCCAGTATCTCCTGTGTAATATCTCTGGATCTCTGCAAGTGCCAATATCAAGGGAAAACTATAAAATATGTTTTTACTCCAGTGATGGCGAATTTATACGGAGTGTACGCGCAGGATGTGAGTTCCTATTTCCTCAGTAATTATACTAGTGTAATATAATTTCAAAACGTTTGTACTCGCGGCTCGTTTTCGTTGCAACGACGTCGACAACCGGATCAACGTATTGCCGTACATGTGAACATAATATCCTATTTATATATACATATCCCGTTGTGTATAAGTACTAAAATACGCTCGGTTCGAAAGGGATGTATTCCCTTTTTTTTTATTGAGAATCCCTATTTTATACGGAGTCTCAATTAAAAAATTTTTTTTTCGAAAATCGATGAAAAAATTTATTTTTTCCAAAATTGATGAAAATCAATTTTTTTTGTGAAAATTCTCGGAAAAATTCGTGAGTTCTGAGTAGCGGACCTCTCGATGGATCCAAAACAATATTGAATTCAATTGCGAGATGAAAATAAATTTTTTTGAAAAATCGATGAAAATGGAATGTTTTCCAGAAATTTTTGGAAAATTTGGAAACACCATTCCGATTGCAATTTTTTTTTACCCTGGCCTATAATATCGCTTTCACGATTCACTGAATGGATGGGTTCACTTCTATGCCTAGAATTATATATGCAGCATATAATAAGCTAGCGGTCCTGGAGATATCGGCGAGTTATGGGCATCCTAATGGCCCCAGCGGTGTTTGATTTATTGTGGGCTTTGGATTCACACTGCGAGAGAGATAGAGATATCTCTGAATCTCCAGAGGAATCGCCACACAATGCATACACGTAATTTGGAATTGTTCCTCTCGTGATGCAAGTGAAACAATTACTATAAATAGAGTACTCTTATTGCCTTCGTCTCTATAAAAAAATCCACCACAGATAAAGCCATTCGTATAAAAAATGCTCGATAATTTTAATGATCATATTATTTTTTTGAACGGAAAACGGGCTCGTCACCTGGAAAGTTAAACGCCACTAGATGTACTTTGGGCTCGAGGGAACACCTAGATAAACAAAAAACAACGCATTTACCTCGGAAAATATGCGGAAAAGTGTCATTTCTCACTGGAAAATTAGATTAAAGAGCACAAAGAGGTGTGCAAAATTCAGGTGTTTATCTCGATGAATCAGCATATACATTTGTCCGTGGGGATTCTCTCGTTGTCATCTTTCTCTTTGACAATTTCTCTCTCTCTGTCTTTCGCTCATGCTCTATCTGTCATAGCCCTGTGTTGCCGTGAAACTCAGATGCTTACGGGGTAGAGAAATGGACTTTGAGGGAGAATGACGGAGATACTTGAGAAGCCAAGGGAGAACCCCGAGGCGACGTGAGAATAGTACGTGGTTTTCGTTGCAGCCGCAAAATTTAAAAGCTGTTCAGTTTGAAACTTGAAGAAACTTCTCGATGTGCTTTTTCCACCCCAGCCTTCGCGATTCTCCACCTTAAATACGATGCAGATATACAAATTATTCATCGAAAACTTTTGATGAGGATAATGTGATTAAGGCATTTTCACGAGTATCGCGAAAGTGATTTATCACTTAAGTCATCAAGTATGGAAAAATATGGGGTGAGAGAAAAATTCTGATTCACTTCTCAGAGATTAGTCGGAGGACTTATTTTCATTAACTATTATCGTTTCCCTGATGTTTCGGGAATATTTCCTTGAGAGGACACGGGGCTGAGGACTCGGAGTAATTGAAGAAAATTAATATTCATTATCCGCATCTTATATTTGCCTTCATAAAAATTTCAGACTTGAAAACTATTAAAGGAGCTCTACTCCTACAGTAAACTGAACGATTTGACATTGAAAACAGAAAAAAAAAAATTTTTCAAGTCAGAATTCCAGAAGGATATCGAAAAAAATATTTTCATGTCATTACGGACGTTGACACGGACTCGGAACCAATGCGGGGAGTGATTGCGAAATTAAAATTCCACGAGAGGAATTGTCTGCGTAATCCAGTGGCAATTATTTCCATTACCAATTAGATATCGAGTTCCCCTTAATTTTTATTGTAATCAAGGATAGATACTGATGACGCCCTATCAGCAAGCTCGGATAACGCTTATGGAATGCAGTAGCTGTCGATTAAATAGCCAGTGCATGAGACCCATACATATCATCTCGACTGAGATACGTGACCAAAATACACCGATGATTCCATTGATTCCGCTGACACCCAGCGCGGGGCCATTGGATTTTTGCGATAAGACTCCGCCCATTGAATTACTGCCCGCCATAGAAAATATTTCTATGTGCCACCATTTCTCAA